GCTGAAGCATCAGCAAGTCAAGCGACAGTAATATAATGTTGTGTCTGGACACAGCATTTTTGTTTTTTTTGGTTTTTTTTTTTAGGGGAGGTTTGGTTGTTCAGACATTTAATAATTTATAGCTGTTTGTCCACTTTCCCCTCGTGCTTGGTCTCAGAGCTGGCAGACAAGCGGTGCCAAATGTCTTTCTGTACATGTGTTATCTTCAGGTTTTATTGTGTTAGGGAACTGTGTGAAAACACCTTGCTGTTAAAAACACAGCCATGACTCACTCCCAAGTTGTCTACACCGCTGAAATTAGGTTGTGAATCTGTCATAATTTGCTTTGGTAATTTGGTACAAACTGTGCCACATGTTCTCCGTTTACTCAGACATTCGTTTTTTGAGCCATCTGAGGCGGAGCGGCCTGTGGCCAACCTCATACCACTGACCCGTCCTGACACGAGGCCATTTTGTTCCTCGTGGTGTGTGTCAGGCTCTTCTATTTTTGCACTTCACGGTTTCTGTGTGCGTACGCTGTGACATGATGGTCCTTGCATGTTCGCTGGAGCATAAAATTCTGTCGTTACAGACAGCAGGACTCTGGTATGGTACCTGGTGTTTGACAGTCTCTCACACTATGTCTGCATTTGATGACAGGGCTTTCATGCCAGCCACTTATTTTTATTTTTTTTTTTTTTTTGGTATTTTACCACACATACAGATTGTGTCTGCATGCGTCTTAGCAAAACCCCCCCAACCCAGGAAAACTGTCAAACGTGGAGCTTTGTAAGGTGAGACTTGCACACTCCCACTATCACCAGGATTGTGTTTATGTTGGTGGTGGCTCTGTACATATTTGAAGGGGGAGGATTCCTGTGTGTTCACTCTCTCCACACCCGTGGAGACTTTTGTTTTTAAGCTGTGGGGGCGGCACTTCCCTGAACTCGCACTGCCGTTCCAGTTACCTCCAGAAACAGCCCTACTAGTGAGTCAGTGGGTCAGGGGATTCACCCAGCAGTGTGTCAGGCCACAGCTTCCAATTACTTGTTCCTCACCCACACATTTTTTTTTTTTTTTTTTTACTAGCACCATTACCTGAAACATATCTGAGCCGCACCACACCTGTCAGTGGAAAGGCTGTTAGGAGCTCACGCTGCCCTTCCTTGTTCTCACTTTTTTCTTTCCTCCTCCTCCTCTGTCTCATTCCCAGAATCCTCCCCTCTTCCTACACTACCTGTGTGTCATCCTTCTGTTCTAATGAGAGGCAGGGATCAGCAAGGCAGACCCCTGGAGTTTGACAGAGCTACCTGTTGTGCTTCCACATTTCTTCCTCCACACTGTACCTCTCTCTCGTTTCCCCTCACACTCTCTCCGTCTCTTTCTTGATCCCTCTCCCTAAACACCAGAGCTGTCGGCTCCTGGCAGTTTGGTTCTAAACTGTTCTCCCATGTCGGGAGTAGCTGCCATGACAGAGAATAAAAAGAATGAAATGTAGAGTTTGTAGTGAACAATGTGAGGATCGGTGTGTGGAAGGCCAGAGTGTGCTTTTTTAGTTGGTCTAGGAGGGATTGTTCTTTACATTTTGTTGATTTCTGTGAAAGTAGCTGTTCACATAGTTTGGGAAATACACTTATTTGATTTTCTTCGGAGATTAAGTTGGAATAAGGATAAGATGCACTATTGCTAGCATGGGGAGCCTAGTTGTCTGTCTTCTTTATGTAACTTGTACTGTTAATGACTTGTTCTTGTTCCCTTGGACATTTCCAATGGCCTGAACCTATGTATGTTTTTGTTTTGGGGGTTTTTTGACTCTGACTTTAGCTATACCATCAGGTCCTAGTTAGTCCAACTGTAAGACCTGGAACTTTCTCTTGCCATGTGGCAAATAGCAACCCAATTCTCTGGCTATAGCATGGGATGCCAGATACAGTCAGTGAGCACAAGTTCTGACTTGGGCTTTGATACCATAAATGATACTATTAAACCTGGCAACCCCACTGTGATGACAGTCTACTTTAAAGCGTTCCGTTTTAATGCTAAGATGAGCTAAAAGTCTTTATTCTAGCTCCTATTTTAATGCACAATCTCTTGTAACACAAATAAGGATATTTCCAAAGTATGTTGATCCCATTAATTGTATTAGCTGGAAAAATTAACCAATGTATTTCAGGTTACATGGAGCTATCTCCTGTTATACAACAGTTGCCAGACAGGACAGATTCTTCTCACCTCACTCTCTGAAATAACGATAATAATTTTGTTTTCCAAACTGTTCAACTATTTCTCCAGCCGTACCAACAGGCACAGTTAACAAATGCAATCTAGTTGGTAACAGATTAGAAGACAGATAAGTTGCAAATTAGCTGTAAACCAGAATTTTGTGTGTAATATTTATCTGTTAGATCTGGCTTGTGTGAAATTCAAAAATGTCACCCCTTCAGTGAGAAGTCTGAAAGTAGCATGAGATATAAACAAACTGTAGGATTCAGCTCCCACCTCCGCTGCCTCAACACCTATTCACTCCCATCACTGCAGACCACATGACACATGTGCCATTGTGCTTTACTGTACGTCATCCAAGTATTCTTATGAAAATGTTCAGCTGAAAATGTTATTTGAGTGGGGGGGGGGGACTTACCAACAGTTGCCATGGCAGCTATATAATGAGTGACAACAAGAGCTTTTGAGCAGTCAAAAGTGTGGTGCACTATTTCAGTCTAGAGATTTCAAGTTTTGTATATCGACTTGAGGTCAAGTCGGATTTTCGGCATTTGGACAATGACATTTTACCAGCCAAACATCAGTTGTCTTTAAAATATTCACTGTAAGAATACAATAATAAGATGGCAGAGGTGTAAATGTCTGCACATCTACAGATCATCATGTTTTACCAACTTGCTTTCAGTGGGGCCTTTTTCTTCTTCTCTGTCTTGTCAGTGAGATGTTGAGTCAGAGTTGTTTTCATTTAGCTTAAATGCTTCTGATTTGATTCCTAAATGAACAAAATCAGAGCTGTGATGTTTAATTAGACATATAAAATTGATGTATATTCAGAGCGAAATGGCACTTTGTCCTTTTACTGTAATGATTTATTTACTCTTCACCTTTCTGTTGCTTGAGAACATGTTGTAATTTACACAATGCAGCAAAACACAAAAATGAGAAGCAGAGAAAAGAGGAAGAGGAGGCAGTGAGAAAGAAAAACACAAACACCAACTTCTCGAGCTCTCCCTGTTCAGCTCACACACCACCGGTCGCTGCAACAGGCTTGACTGATTTCTCTTCTGTACTGTTTTTGTTCAGGCTGTCACTGAGTAGGTGCCGTGGTGGATTCACCTGAGTGAACCGCATGTCTGATCTTGTGTGGAGAGACCTCTGTGGGCCTCCTTTGGGCAAAGCAATAGATTATGCATTTATCTAAACAAGGGAAACAATCACACAAAAAAAAAAATCTTTAAGTACTCTTACAAAATTCATCTAAAGTGCATCAAATGCCACAGGACATATGATGATCTTTAAGCTTGGATGCCTTTTTTTTTAGGACAAATCATTTTCATGGGGACCAGCTGAGCCATTCTCATTGAAGTCATCTTCCCTCACAACTGTACAACCGAAAAATGTTCAGCATAATGACTTACCCTCCACTTCATAGGCCTCTCTTCCTGCACACTCGGCTGCTTCAAAAAGACCACATCTGACTCATAATAGACCTCATTAGACTCGTATTGAATAAGCTTTGAGCCGGCGTAACTTAGCTTCACTGTTAGCTGCTTTTTGCCTCTGCGTGTAGGTTTCAGTGGAGAATTAAAGACTAATTGCCATATTTCTCCAGCTTAAAGCATTGATTAATTATAGCGCAAATCACTGGTGGATCCAGCAGATTAATGTCGTGAGATTTGCCCCCTTTAGATAGGTATTGATTTTGATTCGCTCAAAAATGCCTGTCTTGTCTTCCCAGGAGGGCAGAGGCTATATAAAGTACAAGCAATGTGCCAGCCAGCTCTAAATTACATTTTGTGAGGCAGAGCTTAAAATATCAGTGTTGTGAATTAAGATTCACTTAATAAGCAGGCAGCAAGTGGTTTCACCAAAAAGGTTACCAAATGGCAACACAGGATCAAATACTAGATTACGTAAGAAAATGTATCTTCAAATCAGGCATTAGTAAGGCACAAAAAGATTAAATGTAGCCTTAGATACCTTTTCAATATCAAGGGACTCCAACATACTGTGTAGTTTCTATTTCAAGAATCAAGTCTGTCCCCTTTCCAGCTTCAGCTTATGTTGTCTCCTGCTGCCCACGAATGATGCATCACATACAGCAGCACAGGCAAAGAGGAAGACAGTTGTCTTTTTGTAGTTGTAACATTTTTACTATTCAATCGCAGTCTCAGTCACAACAGATCAGAGGAACCGAAGCATTTCATCTGTTGAAGATGGGGAGTACTTTATTATTTGTGTGCCACTGGGAGGTAGTCCTCCAAACATGGGATTATGCCACTTTGAAAGCCACTTTGAAACATAGGATGCTTCTGATATGAATGTGTCAGGGGAGCAGGCGCCATACAGTGTCTGGCAACGTGTGATCTCAGATTCAATTATGGTTCAATTTTAAATGAGACATCTTTGCTGTAAAAATCCCAGATTTTAGGGCTTTGAAACAGAAAGGGAGCAATTCACAAGACCTATGTGTGATCTGCAAAAACAAGTTGTATCAAATGGATTTGCGGTGCTAGTCTCTGTACAATATTCATTATTTTATCACTGCTAGCACAGCTTAACATCACATAAGAATGAGGGATGGATATGAAAGCATACATGAGACTGTGTTGATGGAAAATTGTAAGTATACAGCTGCTGCTCATGTAAAATCAGAGCAAAAGGTTGTACTTGGAGGCCTCAACATGACTGATACTGACTCTCACAAATCTTCTTTCTTTGCTGTCCCTCTTTCATCCTCTCCCTTTTCTTATTTCAGTGCTTGAATATAATTCTGCAACACCTCCCTTTCTTTCCAGGCTCTGACATACCTCTACGGTTCAAGCGGATGTCTGCGAGGCCCACCATCCTGGCCCGGCTGAACTCGATCAATAGAGCTAAGATGGACCATTGGTTGCTGGTCACGTAAGCTTTGCTGGGGGAATGTTTGTGTCTGTGACTGGACTCTCCTCTAGATCTATGTTAATCACACACAGGCCCATAAGATCCTCTCGTCTGGATGTTCCAGTTCTGTATTCTTCTTATAATCTCTGACTCACCGAGCACCAAACACGCACTGTATGATGAATCCCTCAAACTTTGTGTTGTTTTCAGTAAGTGCTTTCCTGGCAGTTATGCATAGTAGTAGCATGGCTCTAAGAATGGCAGTCAGTAGGAGCAGCACTTCAGTCTTGACTGAATATGTCGATAAATATACTGTAGGATGGGTTATGTGAAATTTAGCACAGGTGTTCGTGGTCCCTACAGGCTGAATGCTAATGACGTTGGTGATTTAGTGCCACCTGCACATCAGACTTTTCACTTGTACTGGATGGATTGGCACTAAATTTTGACATTTACTGTATGTTTCCAGACAGTGTATCAGAATGACTTTGGGGATCCCCTGACTTTTCTTCTGGCGCCACAGTGAGGTTGGTGTTTTTAGTTTTTAGTGAAATATCCATGGGTTGACATGACAGAAAATGTTGTTTCCAACAGGATGAATTGGAATAGTGTTACAGGAACTTTTGATTTGAGTGTTTTTATGGCATTTTATAAACTCAACTTATTAAAAAAATATATAAAACTTTTATTATAGGAAATAAAGAATATATCTTGACACTTCTGAATTAGGTATGACTTAAATGGTAAAATGAATTTGAGAAAATCTACCTTTTAAATGTAGATTACTAGTGAATGGCTTAAGTGCAAATAAATAAATCAGCCCAATTTGTCTTCTTGTACAGATATGGAGCCAGTGAACTTCTTGTGTGTTTTATTACCAAACAAATGGAGCTGAAGTGAGAGAAGATAGATTGAGCGAGAAAAGCTAATCCTTTGTCTTGCTTTCAGATACTTTGAGTTCAGCATCCACTGGACCAGATCTCTTCAGCTGCAACTTTATACCAGCTGTGAATGATGGAAGGTAAACCTGTTCTCTTCAAGGCCTTGGACTAAAGTAGTTTTAAATAAATGAGCAAGTCCTCTTTGTCCTCTATGGATGCGTTACCAATCACATCCCAATAAATCCCTTTGCAATAATGAATGAGATGCATGCTCAATTTATCTTTTCTGCAAAGCTGGGCTGTCTCATTTGTACAAATATTTCTTTGGGTGGAAGCAATTAACTGTAGTGATGCACTAATGTGACACAGAGCCGACTCATACCTCAGATGGTGAACCAGAATAGGATCCAACGGGTTTCTCTTTAGTTAAAATCATTAGAGCGAATAGACCATTATCTCAGCAAACTGCCACGGCTGAATAATTAATCATCCCATCACCTGTTTGTTTGACCTGAATGTGTAACTTCTATCTGCCGCTTTTCACCTCCTAATGAAATCCTTTCTTTAATTTGAGAAAAACGTTGGCACTTTATGTGTAGTCCACTCTTGATTTGGCTAATACATAATAAATGGCAATTATGTGGCTTGTGAAATACAAGGTCAGGAACACCTTGAGACCCTTTGGATTTCAAAGTAATGGTCACATCATTCCTCCTCTAAAACAAGTATGTTGCATGTTTGTAGTCAGTATAATATCAGCTTCTTTGCACATAATGTGCACAGCTTCTGCATAATATGGAGAAGCTGTGTCATCTTGATTATTGGCTTAAACACTGTAAAAGTAAGCATTCAGTATTCTAACCGTATGGTGGGATTTAATTCCTGGAGAGGAACATATGTTCACATGAAACATTTTTCCAACAGGATGAATGGTAGCAGTTTCACTTAACCCTTGTGTTCTGTTAAGGATCTTAAAGGTCCATTAACTAATTTCTTTTCAGCCACTGACGTCTTGTTTCCTAGTGACAATGTAAATTACGAATGCCTGGTTTGGACACAGTAAAAACACTCCACCATGGCTGCCTGCTTCACAGGTTGAAAAACACTTCTTAAAACCTTGGCTAGGTGGCAGATGGGGCTAATTTATAGACTGTACTTTGACAACACGGAAGAGAAGCTGGGGCTACAACAGGGGTGGTGGTGGGGGTGGGGGTATGTCAGTAACACAACACACTTATGGTATTAAAAATAAAAAGGCCCTCGTGAATGTTACACTATTATCTGGCATTTGATTATTCTTACTGATGCATTGATATTTTGTTGGTTGGTTGGTTACTTTATTTGGTTGGTTACTTTATTTATACCCATAGGTAGATTTGTTTTGCAGTCAGATCAGATCGGATGGCATCCTTAAACATTCACAAAATTCCACAAACATTCCACAATTTTGTTGTAGTTGGTTAAAATGGAGCTAATTGTTCACCGTTTACAAAAACACCGGAACTAATGATTGTTTTCATTATGGATTAGTCTGTCCATTATTTTCTCATTCTTATTGTATTAGTAGAAAGAAAAATGTCCATCACAACTTCCCAGAGACCAAAGGTGACCGCTTCACATCGCTTACTTTGTCCAAACAGTAGCACAAACCCCAAATTATTTAGTTTACTGTCATTCAAGACAAGGCAGTGAAGTATTTATTGGCCCTCTCAGAACTACATTTGTGTTTTTTACTGTATATTAGAAAACAGGGTGGTATTTTTTCTTGTTTTGTAAAAGCTGACATTTTCAAGCTGCAGCTTAAGGCTTTTCACATGGAAATGGTCAAAACAACACAACAATAGCAGGCGAAGGTGGAAATAGATTTTAGCTGACAATAACCAGAACTACTCACCAATGTACTTGCATGTACACCAGGGGTTTTATTATTTTAAGCCCTAATAAAATCAAAGTAAAACACCCTCTGTGTTCTGACGTGTCCCTCTTATTCCTGGATTGATTCTTCTTGCTGTAATTGATTAGTGGGTGAAATAAAACCAGGCCTGACCGTGCAGAATGTGTTGGGCAAACACAGATTGTAAATTGACCTGTGTTTTTGTTAGCCAGGTTGGCAGCTGCAAATAAATAGCTGTTTTAAAGGATCGTTCTATTCATTAGAAAAAGAATCGTTCAAGGAGCTTAAAGAAATGCACTAGCCTGAAATAAATTAGCTCATGACTAACTTTTCATTGGTCACACTTTGGCCCCCGTGTCTCCATTGTTGAGTGCACTGCGATGCACTTGATGGAGCAACAAGTCTGTGTCATCAATTAGGCCACAATGTGCTAAAGCGTTACTGTTCTAATGGTGTTATAATGAGCAAGCTCTGCAGAAAACTAAATAAATGGTGGAGTCAAAGAGAAGAAACTCCTGCTAATCAAAGACCATATTTTCTTAAAAGTCAGTGAGAGGAAACTAAAGGCAGCGGCATCTGCTTTTCTATCTACTTCTCAGACATTGGATTTAAAAAGGAGCCAAAGATCAAATTGCACTTAAGAGACAAAATGTGAGTGGTTTACAGGTGCTTTGTTTGTTTTCTGGGAAATTCACTTTCTAATCTCCTGGACTCTGTGAAGGTTTGCCAGGAAGTAGTGCCACATAAAACCCCTTGATTTCTTATTTTATCTGTGGACAACCAAATCGATCATTTGTCTCCTCTGCACCCCCAAAGAGAGAGGCCCACATCCTGCTCTCCAATCACACCATTTAGACCAGGCTATTTCAGGGGCAGAACAAGGCACCGGGTGGTCAAGCGCTCTTCAGTGTCTCCCGGAGACAAGTACGTATAAAAAAAGCATTGAAATTTCCTGGGATCTCGACACATCTAATTGAGATTTCATGCCCTATTTTCTGAGAGATCCGAATCCTTGTTCTGTTCTACCGCAAGCTGTATTTCCCCAAGGATCGAGATGAAAGAAATTGTTTTCAGGTTTTATTTAGCTTTTGTTGCTTTTCAGTGAAAGTGCCTTTTTGTTTTTGTTCAGTGACTGTGTTTGATTTGATTTGTCTGATAGGTAGTAAAAATGTTCCTTTATCAGAGTAATTCATTTGACTGCATGCACAGGTTTCAAGTCTTGACTATTGCATTGTAAAACTTCCAGGTTTTTCTGTTATGTTATCAAGGTTGACCTTTGGCATATATGCTGGAATAAGGAAATGTAAAACAATTAAATGTGCAGAGTAACTGATTCTCAATAAAACCCATTTGACCCATATCACATATCCCGTATCAGTTTGTCACACTGTCATTTTTGTTCCCCAAGCTCCTACAGTGATATCACACAGTATCACACAGTCTTGCATTACATAGCTCTAACAGTCACAGTGGGAGCACTGGCTTCCCAGCAGGACTCGTATTGGATGGTCTGCAATCAATGACTTCATGCACAAGCATCAACGTCTGGCACAATGGGGATATATACAAAAAGAGATACTGACTCAGCCCCCTGAGGCCTTTTTTTTTTTTTTAAAAGCAGGTGACATGACAGCAAGACATTAAGTGATCTTCTTCTTGGCGTTTGAGACGTGATCTTCTTTTATGTTTTCAGTCCTTACATTAAAAACAAAGATCTTCAGTTAATATAAATGAAACACTTTGTATATAGTTTCCAATTTTTAAATCCAGTCTTTTCTACCTAGCATAAATGTACATTTGTCCCACATTAGTGTGAAACCTGATGAAGTTCCAACAGTACCCAAGTAGCCTCTAAAGGATGCAGTATAGGGTTGTAATTTCCAGGTGCCCATATGAACACTGGTCCAGGTATTTTCTTTAAACACTCCTCCTGTTCGTATTGGCCATTAAAACATCGCCTTCTAGTGTGCTTCAGGTGTTCAGGTCCTGTCATTGCATTAAAAAATGTATTCAACAGTTCATCTGAAGCTAACATTCTTCAGTGGTCTGATGTGAAATGAAGAAATTAAGTGGGTGTCGTCGTTTTTAATACCAAATGCCCACAGACTGAATAAAAGCACTATTAACTTGATGAATTATGTGTTACATGCCAGTCAGGGGCACTGTTTCTTATGTTTCCCTTCCCCCTTTTATCTCTCTTGCTCTATGGTTCCTCCCAGGTAACAGTTTCCCACCTGTGAGTGTGCACCTCTCATTGGCTGATTCGAATATAAGGGACCCAATCGGAGCAGGAGGCTTTCTTTGTTTTGTTTGTGCCTTTAGTGATGGAACAGAAACGGCTCTATTTTAGGTAAGTTGATGTATTCTTTACACATTCACTCACTGCAGGCAACTTTGTTGTTATACACACTGTCTTGTTAGGTTCGTTAAAGAAGAAGGAGGAGGAGACAGGCCAGACAAGTTTGGGCTTTTATTTTCTTGTAGTAGTTGGTCTTTGTTTTGTTTTATTAACTGTATTTTCTGTGGCACAACCACATATTCCTGTGCTCCTGCACTGTTTGGTATTGATGTAAATAGAGTAAATAAACTGTCCTTTTTTAGATCCTCTACTTTGTCTCTTTCCTTTATCTTGGTTGTTGTGATACTGTCCCCACTTCCTTTAGTCCATACATTTTTACACAGCGCTACTTTCATTGAAAACATGTCAGAAAGTGATTGATTAATGAACACAGCAATCAGAGCCTGTTTCGATGGCCACATGTAAATCTGTAGCCTCTGTTATAAAGAAAGAATTTGAAAGAAATTGCTAAAAGTCACCCCTCTTAATATGTTGAAACTCCTGTAATGTTTGGAGCCCCCCTTTCTCTAGGGGGCATTAAAAGTAAAATTGGCTTTTCTCTATTTTTTTGTAAGTGTTTACTTTAAAAAAAAAAATCTCATTTTGATACAACTGAAGATGGTTTCACTGCATCCTGTGCATTACCTTTAGTAGTTATATACAGGTTTATTTGGGCCCCTGGAACAGATTTGTTTTAGCACTGACAGAAGTTTATTATTGTGGTTCTTCTTTCTTTTGGCTAAATGTGGAAAAGGGATGTTTGAGAGATTTTACAGCAGTTTAGCTGTTAACCTGCTTTGCAGCCTTTCAGGAAGCTCATCTCTCTGTCTAGTCTCAGCAGGGAGCATGAAAAACACCTCAATACAACACTGAGACCCTCGCTAGACAAGAGGCTCCCGTCCAGGCAACATTAATGTCTCAAAGAAACTATTATTGACAGTTTAGTCCCTCTTCTAGAATCTACTTGAGAGAACACATCCATGATAAAATGCTGCCCTGTGGTCCTCACAGGTTTAAGTGTGCAGAGAGAGGGCAGGGAGATCCAGAACACCCAACCTTGACATTTAATAGGAGGAAGAGAGACCACAGACAGTATATAAAGTGGATGTAGCAAGGAGTGTCACCCATTTGTAAGGAAGCCAGTTTGAAGCCTAGTGTTTCAGCTTGTGGTCGGTGCCATGTTGTGTGCTTGGAGCCAGGACCTTCCAGCTTCATCAAATGTCTAAAAATACTGAAATGCTTCCTGCGCACCAGAGATGAAATCAGCTATCAAAATAGCAGGGTAACTGCTTGACTGTATTCTATTTACCAACTTGATGCTAACATTAGTTAGCAACCTAAAGTGTGCTAACAGGCAGAGCAGGACGGAGCAGAATATAGACTCTGTATTTAAACAGAAGCTCTGGAAGTCTGACTCTGACAAATCCAGAAGCCTGCCAGAGCAGCAGGTGAGCGAACTCCCACATGACAGACATCAAAGCCTCCTAGAAGCACTAACATATTATTAAAGAAGCAATAACTCCAAAGTGACCACCCGAACATTTGTTTGAGCGCCAGAATTAAGCGAGGGAAGCCATAATGTCCCATTTAACGACTCGATGTTTAAGTTGACTATTTCCGAATGGGAGTCAGTTGGAGCCAGGATATTTTGAGCCAGCATCTAGCAGCTGTCAGTGGCATTGCACTTCAAGATACTTCTGCAGCCTGGCGCTGTGGTAGTTATCGCCTCATTGGGACCACTGGAGCAGTAAGACAGTTTTTCACTGAGCAGATTGTAATATTTTATGACTTGCACCTTGCTGTTTTCCCCTTGTTTCATTAACATAAAACATCAACTTTAATTCATAAAGAACTTTTTCATCACCTTGCCTAAAAGTACAGGGGCATGTAACTGGAGTTTGTAGTCATTCATTTTCCTGTGAACTGCCATTTTGGCCCATTTCATTTTGGTGTGACATGGTGGATAAATATAGTGGCAAGAAAAAGTAAGTGAACCATTTAGAATTACCTGGCTTTCTACATAAATTCATGATAAAATGTGATCCAGTCTTCATCAAAGTCACAAATATAGACAAGCACAATGTGCTTAAGCCAAAACCACACAAACAATTATATTTTTCATGTCTTTATTGAACCCAGCCATTAAACATTTAAAGGGCTGGTGGAAAAATTAAATGAATCTTTGGATTTAATAATTTATCAGATTTAACCTCAAACAAGTGCTTTGGACCTGCACAATTCAGGAGGAATTTTGGACCATTCTTCTTCACAGAGCTGCTTCAGCGCAGCCATATTCCCAGGATGGTACAAAGTAGCATATAGAGGCTGTGTTTTTATTCCAGTACTCCACCCCTTGTATTCCAGGCACATATCTGGGATGTTTTGTGAGTTATGAGTCACTTAGGTGGAACACAGTGCCCCCTTTTGACCTGGAGCAGGTCAAACAAGATTCTAATTCCCTATGGTTTGAGACCTTTACAAAGATGGATTAGTTAATGACCCCAGCATTGCCCTGCGATCCCTCCAAGGGGGTGTACCTACTACACATTTGTTCATATCTGTGGCCCTGAAATATAGTTGGCTATCAGATCCCCAGTCACATTTTATGCCAGTGCTTTTTCTCCATTAGAGTTGTATTACTTTAAAGTAGAGTCTCCTGATGACCCTGTTTGCCACCTCTTAGCCCATGGCCAGTACTGAATGACATAATCATGGCTCCTGAATGAATATTGGTTTCTTGTAACAAAATCCCTTTGCATTATTGTCTTTTTTTTTACCTTGGGCATACGATCAATACTTTGGTCTATAACAGATTATGCGTATCTAATTCTTTCTTCAGGAAAAGTGTGTTCAAATATCAGCTTCTTTATTTCAACATGAGGTAAGATGCAGTAAGGTGAATTTGTGCATGTTTGGAGGTTATGTTTAAAGCAATGTGCTAACCATGCAGTTGTCAGTTCCACAGGAAGGCTGTGAACAGTGTTGAAGCTTCCTGAATCTGCTTTTTCATTTGATTCATGTGTGGACCAGAGCCATGTTCATATCATGCATTCAAACTAGCAAACCCAATATGTCCATTCTCCCCTACTGTGTTGTTGTTCTTTGTCTCCTTGGTGAAATCAAGATTGTTGCTCCCTGGGTGTGGTGTAGCTGGCCAGGAGCATGCTGTGAGGCTCTGACAGGAAGACGGCAAAGCTACAGGAGTCCAGGAGGAATTTTTTTTTTTTTTTTTTTTTTAACCTTAGCTTCCACGCAGGGCATACACCAGCGCTCAGAGTTTTTTTTAGGTTTGTCCAACCCCAAGTCGACTGCTACACTGTGATATTGTCTCTGGGTATTTATTTAAGTCAGACTTTAGGGAACGGCCCACCTGTACCTGAAGTGAAAGTTTGTTGAGATGACAAGAAAAATGTTTTTAGTAGCCTCTTTATTAGGTGTTAATTTGCTGCCTCCATATTTTTCCTGTCCAATTCTGTTCCTGGAGACAAGTCAGAAGTACTGGAGCCCTTGCATTTCCCCGACTTATCCTGATATATTGAACCTTTTGTGCATCTGATCTTTTCAATATAATCTACCTACTGTACCGAGTAAGTCTTCCTGACATTCTTTTGAGACACACTTTCATAAATCACCATTAAAAATAGGGGCAATAGGTCCAGGTTCTTTTTCATTTTAGGAATTCCTATATGCAATCTAAATGCTAATGATCTAATTGATATTTGTAGGCAGGGCATGAATAACTTTCCTAAAGCCAGAAACCAGAGCAGCAAGCCTAAAACATGTGCTGTCATCAAGATGTGTAAAGCCTGGGAATACCTTTTTAGTGGATTGATTTTGACTGATTTTACCTTAAATTGTTTGACTTTTGTCATGCAAATTTTAAGTAGCCTGAGTCATAATTTGGACCTACATTAACTGATTTTCAGTGGAGCTGTACCCTAATATTAGAGCCCAGAAAAAAGAAGGGAACTATGATTCTGATTTTGTGCATGTTCTGTATAAGACATGCTTCACATCCTTTCAGATATATAATCAAGTTAATGGTGCGTCCCCCCCGCCCCCCTGGCAATTCCAATTTAAGAAATGAATATATCATTTTATACTAACAGGAAATGATGCATGGCGTGTACTAACAAAAGTCATTCAGCTGTGACTACAGCATACTTACACCCATCTAAATTTGGAAAATCACAAATTGAATAATTTACATTCCCAAATATTAGTTCAGAAAACTTGTCAAATGTTGCCAAAGTTGTCAAACCACTTTCAGCATCTTATTATTTTCCAGCTGTGTGGAGCTTTTCAGGAACTCTGCTTAGTACTTCTTCCAAAACATTGAAAGGTTTTGCTAAATTTTAAATAAATGCACAACTTGTTCTTAGACCATTTACATACAGTAGTATGTAAGTTGTCCAACAATTTTGAATAAAGCATGTTGCACTACCCTCTACAAAATGTTTTCAGACTGAAGTTATGAATTTTATGACAGTGGTTAAGTTAGCCTGTTCCAAAACCTTCTTAAACACACTTACTAGCTTATATCAAGTCTTAAAATAAGAGATGTTTCCTGTTTATAAAGGTAGACTTTTCTATTTTAGGTTTTACATCCTTAGGGTTCCCACTGTGTTTTGTTTTTCACACATGCATCTATGAAGCGAGATCTTTAGTATCACTTGATGTTTTCCATTATTTTAATCATTTAAAATATGATTGAACTGATTTTGCAACAGATTTTGTATACATACCTTTTACAACATTTGTTTAATATGCTGTATTGTTATGTGGTAAAGGATTTCAAAAGATCTGCATGCAAACCATTTAATAGCATGCCATTATATACTGAGAAAAGCATGCATGAGATAATTATGTAAGATGTCGATGCATAGATGGATTTTCTTATTGCATTGAAGGTTTTCTGCATTAAGATTATGAGCTTAGAGCATTTTTCCAGGCTTTTATGTTGGAAACACTCTCTCCTGCTTAAAGCATCGATCCATGCGAGCCTAACTGTTGCTCCACCCTCTGAAAGACGACAAAAGATGTGCACGGGATAAGTCTGCTACCACTCCTGCTGTGTAAAGTGTGTCCTACCAGTGTGCATCATGCAAGTAACGCTCAGAGAAAGCGTTTTCTGGTGTTTAAAATGTGCCAAGGGAGCCCAGATTAACTCCCACCTGTGCTTCTAGCCTGTAGGTCGAGTGTGTAGGACTGAGCGCTGGCTTAAGTCCCTGAGGCGCATAGGCTCCTCCACTGTGCCGGAGAGCTGCGCTGTCCGCGGTGCTGAAGCCTGCTGAATGCACGGATTTGCCTTCTGCAGCCATAAAGCTTTGCAGCAACATCAGTCGCTGATTTCAGGTATCCTGTTCTGACAAGTGATGATGCTAAAATGGCGCGGACAGTGAGGAGGCATGATGTAGCAGAAAAAAAAAACACGGGTGATGAGTGTTGTTGGCTTATTAGGAGGATGTTTCAGAGTTGTTTGACTGACTCATCTTTAAGGGTTGTAAGTGAAGTATAAGCTCAACTTGGAAAAACGAGCGATTCCAAACACGTGAAAGCAACACGAGGCTAAAACGGCTTTAACCTGCTCAGCTGCCCCTTTCTTCACGGCAGGGACAGAAGTGGTGATGTGGTGTAAAAAACACATTGCTGAGAAAAAAAAAAGCTGAAATACGCTGGAGCCGTGGTGTTACTCCCGCCTGCTGCACTGTGCATGTCTCGGAGAGGCGATGTTTGACTTCAAATGCCATATTTAGGAAAAATGCTTGATCGCTTTGAGTGACTGGGCCGAGGACGAATGGCGTCTAGTGGTTTGGAAAGACGCTTGAGCCTAACGAGGACCGTGTTAGAGCCAATAGTATTGAAGAGCTTCTGTCTGCATAAGAGGTGGATGGAGCTACTCTGGGTATACTTCCGCGTCCAATGCGTGTTCATGTGTAGGTTGAATGGATGAAACTGAGAGAGCGGAGAGGTATAGGCATGCTGTGATACGGCCCTATATATGTACCGGCAGGACTATCTTCCTTTTAAAGACAACCCCCTCCTTGCGTTGGTTTTCACTCAGTGATGTCGCGTATTTGTGTGGCGCACCTGTAAAGAGCGAGACAGGCAGAAGCCGGCTTTTTTAATTATTTGATTCCTTTTATTTCTTCTGTTCTTTTCTCCCTTTGTTTCATGCATTTACTGAAAGGAAACCATTTCTGTGTTTTGATTTAATAAATATTTCATTTCCTCATTTTCTCTTGTTTGTGTTGGCTTTTATGTTTCCAAGTTTGAATTAACAGAGCGGAATTCATCATTTTACAAGCTATTGGCCAGGTGTTTCATTCTGAGATTGTTTGCCTAAGGACGTCCATAACTTTCATTTATAGAAACGGTAAGATATTTTTTACACATTTGCTCATTCACCTGAAACATTTTAAAATCAATATTCCAGGCTACTTCTTTGAGGACAGTGGACAGTGCAGATCATGCATTCACTGTAAGCTACCTTATTGCATGTAAAGGCGATAGGAAAGTCACCGTGGTGCATTCACAGGCTATTTCCACTGACGGCTGATTTTCAACTGAATTGCGGTGCCTTGGCATATCATAGGCTTACAGATAGGATAAGTGGGCTATCTCCGCACATGTGCTCAATTCAAACGCTTTTATTGCACGAGTGTGTAGAAATATCGGCCTTGTAGAGTGTTGATCCGCAGAGCAAATCGGTTTTTTACCGCATCTAAAATAGAAATATCATCATGTTGCAAATAATAGAATAGTAGCGCTGTTTTAAATGTTTAATTTCACATTAGTAGCTAGTTGAAATAATATCTGCAGTAAGCAGATGACCAAATGTATTTAATTTTTAATCAGAGCTGTCATCAATGTGGAACCGTGCATTTTATTTGGGTTCTAAATTAAAATCAGGCTAAATACAAATGTGGTTTAAACTTTGTGGTAGGTAATTACAAGGACGGATTCTTCCATTTACAGTAGCCTAAAGGGATGAAGACTCAAGCGGGTAAAATTACATAGCCCAGGTTTAGTGCTATCTGTGTTTTGCGCTACTTTCAGTCGTTGGATTATAATTTCTAAATTCTGCTCTCATAGTCATGTTTGTACTATGCCAGTTCTGTATCTTCATCCAGATCTAACTTGTGAAGTGTAGGAAAGCTACACTGTACCACCTACTCTTAAAAATCACCACTCTAGATTTGAACATTTTCCCATGCCAGATGCCACTTTGCCTGCAGGCCTAGCCTAAAGATCTGTCTTGTATATGCAGAAGTTACGTTACAGTCTGAAATCTAAACGGTAAGGCTTATAAATTCATAGGGTAGGTTTTAGCGGATTAGGTTAGCTCTGATTTTGGTAGACTCCCCAAGGTGCCACCTGGGACTCCAGTGGCACTTTGACACAGCTTGGGGAACAACTGTCCCAGCTGTTTCGTCGCTGTATGTTTTCCCTCTACATTGAGATTTTGCCTGAAAAGGAACCCTGGTTAGGAGACTCGAAGGACCGCAACTACGTGAAAGGGGCTGGGTCACGTGACACAAAGAAGCGCGTTGTGGCGGTCCTTCGTGTACACCTGCAGTAAATCGATAAATTAATACCTTATTTCCGGGTTAGATACGAGGTCTTCGCTGATTGGCCAAGGATCTGATTTGTGGCCGCGTTCCCGCTGCTGTCCGCTATTGTGCTGCGCAGAGACCGAGACCAAAAGTTTAGTGTCTGCGGACTTAACGTCGATAAATATCCCACGATTCGGCGCCTGAGGTAAGACACAGAGGAGTTGTTTCAAAAAATATCAACTAGCAGGATTAACTGGACCTAAAACGGTTTAGAAAAAGCATTTTAATGACTTACGTTAGCTAGCAAGGCCAGCCACCGAGTTGCACCATGCTGCTCGAAGGACTTGATAGGACACGTTTTACGGTGACTTGTTTAGCAGTTTTATCTAGCTAACTTGGAAGTAGTCAAATTGTTCTTTACGTTACCAATAAGGGCAGAATGATACCTGGGTACTAGCTAACATGCACAACCGGCTGTATAGGATGGAAAAATGAGCTGACACACCCACGTTTAAAAATACCACAGTTTACGCGAACCGTCTTAATTTTGGCCAATTAGCATGCACATCAAGTAAACATGGTCTCGAAGAAAACTAACTTTAAGTTTGACCGGTTTAAGTCAGTCTGGGTGCGCATGGTAGGCTACACCGCAGGAGCACAGGTGTCGCTGATAGCCGATTAGCCACGGCTGGTAGTCCACCTCATTAGACGCGCCTTATCTAAAGATCGTTTTAACGTAATTAACATTAATATGCATTTAACTAAGGCCTATTTATAAATGCATAGAGGCATGCAATCTTGAGCAAAGTAGGTTTACAATTTTTTCTTTGTACGTTTTACCATAATGCTATTTATTTCCATTACTTTGCAGAAATGTTCTTGAATTAAAACTACACGATTATGGAATAGTTGTTTGAGGCTCTTTTCCCACATCCAGTACATGAAAGCCTGTTTTCCATTGAGTGATCTTTGACATTGGCAGTCATCTTAACCTGATATCATTTTAGCATCCACTTATAAATGCTCACAAAGGGTGTTTTGGGGTTAATGCAACTCCCTATAAATGCAGGTTTTTGTGTTTAAAGGCTTTAAGGACAATTAGAGAAATCTCTGGTGTGAACAAGGGCATGTTCTCTCTTGTTGGCTTTGACTGTTGAGCAGGTGAATGTGTTGAAGCCACGGGCATCTGATTTGTAGTCGGCAGCCTGTGGAGTCATCTTCAAGATTACATACTGTGTAGCCAGCAGTTGAAACCTCCAGCAGCAGGAGGTTGCCATAACACAGGGCATATGCGGTCCTGCAGTTACTTGGGGCAATGCAGCAAAGGGAAACTTTTGTTTTTTAATAGATGGACACATTTAGCTCTGAGTGGTGGCTCCTGATGTGATGTATTGGTAAGATATTTTCACATAGTGTTGCACTGATTGGCTTTTACCAAATCCTAGTATTTATGTCCGGCTAAGAGGCAAGTCAGGAATGTTAAAGCAGGTGTCTGTGCTGCTTTTTGTCCTTGATCTTGGTGTTTGCAGTACTAGTATTGCCACAGTGTACAAGCACTTAAATTAAAACAATGCCAGAGTCTATTTGCGTTGTAGTTGCTGTTTTTGGTTAAATTGTGTTAAATTTAAACAGTATAGCACTTTGCTTTTTCTATTAATAATAATCTTAATTCAGGCTGTGTATCAGTGCAGATCAGGTCAAGTTCATCTTGTGAGCATGTCTTTTTTTTTTTTTTTTTGTGTATGTGTATCTGCTGCTTTTGGGCATTTTCCTCAGTGTTCGTGCATCTTCCACGATTACAGCAGACTCTGCGTTCCTGAGGGGCACGACATAAGAGCAGTTGTCTTTATGTATTATTGAGCCCCCATGTTGGCCGTTCTAAATAAAGGCTGCTGACAGAGGGACTAAAACGCAAGACAGTGAGTGAACTTCCAAAGGCCACATCCCTGTATTCTGTACAGCAGTGTGCCCCTGTCAGAACTGGATTAGTATACAGTGGGTGGATTTAGCAAAAGAGCAGTTTTGCCCCTTTTGTCCTTCTAAATGTCCATCCCATCCCCCGTTCTTCTCCTAGCCTCCCCCTCTCCCTGCAGCCTGATTTAATGTGGGCTTTGTGGGTGGTAAGCACATCCGTTTTTGTTGGGTCCTTAGTGTCTGCTGGCCACAGGGTGGCCCTCCCTCTACATGTTGGGATCATTACTTGGAGGCCAGTGTTGCAATGTCCTTGAAACCTGTCACTGCACCGTAGTAGATCAACATATTTCATGCTCTGTGTAGGTGTAATGTGAGAGTTGACTTGTAATGTTTGGCTCTGTAGTGTAAATATGCCTCGAGGTGCCTAAACATTGTTGGACCACTTTAGTAAGCAGCTTTTTTTGCAGGATTTAGTGTTTATGGGCTTTGACTGCTAAACTGACAACTGAGTTTAATAATCTTGAGTAAAAATAGCTGAAGTTTAGTGACTGAAATGTCAGAACCTCAGTGATGAACCCAGTGCTAAATGAACAATGCCACTTTTTAAAGGTGACATTTCTTTATTTATAGTTTGCCATGCTGTTGCACTTTGTCAGGTAATTCTGGAGCTTCTAATATTAAACCCAGCTTGAGCGTCATACAGTTAGCGTTTTCTGTGTAATAGTAGAGATGAGTATATGAACTCCATTTGCTCTTACAGTAGGCTTCATGCTCCAGCCCTTGTATGGAGGAGTTAAGGTTGTGCATTTGCATGGATCAGTTAACATTTACTGCTAATAGTGTTTGTTTTATAAGCAATGAATTTGATCATAGAGCCACATTTTTACTGAATGCTGACAAGTGTTTGTAATAAAACTTAAAACACAGCGGCAAATGTAGAGTATTAAGGATGTTCATTTACACAACTGGATATTTTTACATTGGTCCTCTGTGTCAATCCAGAGAAAAATTTAAAAGGCCTCTGGTCAGAATTTCTGAATAAGTCAGTAGTGATGAGAATGTTGCAGTCTCTTGTGCAATACTACTACCTAACTTTTTCAGGCTAAATTGCAACTCAGAATTGCATCACGTTTTCAGTATTAACACTGATGTGCTCTGGTTTACATGGGGTAGCTGCTGCACATCTACTCTGCCCTTAACTACCCTCTGTAGCCTGGCACCTTCAGGACACACTGCCAATAACAGTACATGTGTGGTGATAACGTTTTCTTTCTACTTTTAAATGTCAGCCTACACAGAACGTTGCTAGTAGGTGTGGTAGAGCATAGCTAGGATGAAGCCCTGCACAAAGTTTGGAGGTGTGGACTACTGAGCAACGGTGTCTAAGACTAAGTCGTCCTGCCAGGGTGTGATGTACTTAATTACATGTGTAAAAAATTTTTATGCTTGTCTGTAGAATTAAGATGTTTTGAAGAATTCAGCAGATCAGGCACAGAGAAGGAAAATCTTAAAAAAAAAAAAAAATGTCAGGAAAGAAATTGGCTCAATGTCAGTTGTTGGGTGACGCTTGCATTAAAACTGTTTTTTGCAATTGCTGTTGCGTGACACCTTATTTTTCTTAAAGTTCAAATTAGGGGTGTCAATGATGAATTGATTAAATGCTGTTAATTGGTTTAAAAATTATATTAACCCACAGAGCAGAGGGCCCAGTGTTGGGGAAAATGTGCTGGAGTTTGCTGTATTACCTGGTTACACCACCAGGTGGTGCCTCTTAATGTTTGCTGACCACCTTTATGAAATGAGTGCACCTCCTTGCCATTTAATAAAAAGAGTGGCAGTGCAGCTTTGTACACTCACTGTTGCAGTTGTGTTGTCTATATCTGGCTTGTCTTGCATACATTAAACC